ATAGTATTCACATAACTTAAATGGCACTACGTTGTCAAAGATTACAATGCGAAATTGACATGGTAGTTGGTTAATCTTCATTGCGTCGAGGGAAAACAAAGGACATAAATATTTATTCAAACCTTTCTTGAAGAGCTGAAAGGGCATGCCCTCTACAGCTGATTGAGAAATGTCATTCTACTGTTCTATTGTCCCTTGCCTGAAACATTCAGTGCAGAGATTCAACCTGGAAATTTTCTTGGGTAGGTTCACGGAGTGTCCACATAAATGAGACGAGAAGTGCCGGTGAAATAAGTCCTAAAATCTTAATCCTTTTCGCGGGTCACATATTATCTTGAAGGCCAAGATATGTTCACCTCTTTGTTGTCTGTGCACAGAGGAAACAGATCAAAGCATTCTATGCTTTCTATATAAGTTCTGTACCTGTGAAATTTTACCGATTTAGTTGCGCGACAGTGCACTTTACGGAGACACGTTGTGTATTGTGCGAGCCGCACTCCTCAACGTCAGTTTGTTATATTACATATGGGATCGTACGAGAGTGCCGTAGACTTGGACAACGCCTAATTCTCTCCGTTTAGGTCTTTCTTCCCAAATTAATCAAAACCTCGCCACTTATAATGCATAAGTCCCATTATAATTTTACGATGCGCGAGAAATCCGTCAGCCTTACTCTTTGAAAATTTCGCTCGATTTTCCCGTCTCATTCAAACCACTGTTTGACAAATTCGATTGCTTTCAAATGGACAGCGGTTATATTAGTCGCTTAGGACTCAATTAGTAGCCCACTAGTAACCTTAGCGTTTCCGTTGAAATCACCTACAATGAATTTCCTTATTTCGCGTGGTCTACCATGTTATTAATTTAAGTATTTCGGCCCGCGCCACTGAAACATCCTGCTTCATAAACTGAGTAGAACCCTTCCCCGTATGGAAGGTAGTTTGATGCCGATAAGACTACCACTGTCTCCTTTTGGATTCGCTTGACAGATGCAAACAAGCCCCCCTATAAATCCCTTAATTTTATTTTCAAAATATTACTGGTTTAATATATGGGGTACCAACCTAAGACCCGTTGTCTATCCTGTTCACGCACCTGTCTGTCTAGCTACATTAACCATATCCAAATAAAAGTTCCTAGGAAATAATTTTATCGGCTTTTAGTACTACCTCCCTTTTCACCCCGCGCCTTTCTATGTTAACTATCCTCAAGCCTCTCTCTGTTAAACTCTAATAACATCCCACATCAGATGACTGCGTCGTCAAATTTGTAGAGTACCGTCTTAATGATACATCAATGATTATCAGTATACGAAATGTTCTGAAAACTTTAACACTTATTCATCAACTTATACTGGTTTAGAGCAAACTATCCACCTCTGTTAGTCCTCTAATTTATGCTTAAAATAGTCCCACTGCTCGTAATCCAAGAGATATAGGCAGCATTACTAAAAGCTGAGTCTGTGATAAACAAGCTGGCTTATGGCACAGCAGATGCTCTCAAGACGGCATCCAATATCATATGCACAAGTGCATTTTTGGTGCGCGTTATAATTCCTGACCGCTTCTTTTCACACGCGACTTGGTTTTTACTGTCTAAACCATATACACAGTCCTGGTAGAAGTTGCCTACTTGGTGCTAGTTCTTGCGTAAAAAACTCCATACAACATGAAAGTCATTGGGTCTCTGGCAATTTCTGCTTCGCATCTTTCATTCTTCCGGCGCAAAGAAGGGCTATTCTTGGTTGCATCCAATATCCTCCAAGCCCAGCCTCCGGGAACTACAGACATTTGATACTTTCTTAACGTTATTTCGGAAGGAAAAATTATGCGACATGGACCCACATATCTGCGCCAAAAGACGTAAAACTTGCAGCGTCTAGCCATTATAACCGGTCTGGCGCCATGATCAAAGACCTCGCTGTCTCAAGGTCATTCACTCCTTGCAGCAAGCCGTTCCAGACGCGCTGACCTGAAGCCACTCGACCGACTTCAGCTCGGACGCAATTGTGTCCACACAGCGTCGCGGCTACCCATGCGTTACTTGAACGCGTCACCCCCTGCAACCAGAAAAACAAGCCACTGGGACACCACCCCTCGGAAAATGCAACACCCAATGACAGGACTCCACTTCATCTTGACCCACGAGTCTACAAAAACCGCTGCCACCACTATCTCAGGTGAGGACAACTACGGGTGCTCTGCACAATAAACCCCTCATTCTGGTGCCTTCCGTCTTCGCCCAACTTGGAATTTGGACTGACGATAGTAGAGCTTTGAGTACAGATAAACATACTCTCGCCGCTTGGTCTCTACAAACTACACTTGAACGAAGAAAATGCCCTCTGCCAAATTGAACTATAAATCCAAAAGCATAGTACATCGGAATTAATTTTTGCCTGGTTCCATTGTTCGCGATTTTTTAATAGACTGACTTATTTGAGAAGTCAGGGGCAAGATGGTCCACCGGTCCACTGTCGGTTCGTTTAAGTATCACAGAAATTTTAGGACTGACCTTGATGATGCCTCGTATGGGCAACAGGTAGGAAGAGGCACTTACATGTAATTATTCGTGACTTGCAAAATTTGCTAGACCAATCTTCCGTCGTCGCACATGCTTTATGCGTGGTCATGAAATTCATCCTTGTTAAATGACAATGGAGACTTCCTCCTCTCTGTCCTTTAGTTGTTCCGCCAAGTCACCCTTATCGAATCGGAAAGAAAAGGTCTTAATGGGGTCCCTACTACTAGACGAAATATAATAAAAAGGTCACTCGTCAGGTCGGCTTAGCCTTGGACAGCCGAGCCGTGCTCACCTGCGTGTTGTGAGGAAGTCGGCGAGGACCTTAAAGACAATGACTTAATTTAGGAAATGCTCTCCCGTCTACCAGTCTTCTTTATGCATCTTTGACCATATGTTGAGTGTTACAGCAGTATGCATACAAGTTAACCAAAATAAGCAACAGTTATGACCCATTTCCATTTCAAAAGTACTGCAGAGGACGTGCAACCTCTTCGAATCGGACTGCTGACAGAGTCCACCACTGCGGCCGTCGCTCCTTCCAGAAGAGCTCCAAAAGTAGGGGTGTCCTTCATTTATGTGGTAGTCACCTCTCATCACTCACACGTAACAATCCGAAGAATGTCAGAAAATGAAGAGGAATGGAGGCCAGGTTAGCAAAAGTTTATTATGTACCAAAGAAAAGGCGGAAAAAATGCCCTCACAGAACGAGAAATAATAGAGTTATCCACTTAAAGTTCCAGGGGTTTCACTGTTGATAATCTGGATGTCACGTGTTTTCGGGTTCTGACTTCTGATTTAAGGCTGACTCGACTTCCTCAACGGCAAATCAGAGGCAGAAGGTTTGACGCTTTAAACACGCTCCTACCATTTCCCCTCTATTCCCATAAGAACAGTCATGGCCGCTGCCTTAGTAGGACAAAAGGGAAAAGTGGCCAATACAAATAAACACTCGAATAGGCAAGCGTGCGTAGGCCTGCCATACGAAAGCTTGACTGGGATTGGTCTAATAATGCTCTTACAAAATCTGAAAATGTTGTCTTCATTTCCTTACATGGTCGTCATTCACCTTAGCTGCCAAAAGTTTCATCGCCTTCTATCGACTAAGCTAACATTTTCCTTATCCTTTGAAATAACTTCGATGCTTCCGCCATTCACTCGAGTGCTTGCGAATGAATCGCGCTCCAGCCCATCCTAAAAATTCGTAAATGAAAAAAATTTTCCGAGATCTGTAAACGTAGTTTTAGCGTTTCCACAACATTACAAAAGTGACGGCACATAATGTTGATGGATTGGTCTGAAAACTGTCAGAACGCGAATATGCTGACGTCTAATATGGTTTTAATAACCTAAGCTTTCGGCGGAGACGTCAAAGTTAGTCGCGCACAATGTTGAAGTTTAACTGAGTGTACATGCAGTTTGCGTAGTCATAAAATATCTAAGCCCATACATGATTTTGTATGTAGCACAATTTTGTAGTTAGAAAATGAAATCTGCTGATCAAGGTTCGTATGCAGCGGCAGAAGCAGTTTTGTCTTGCCAATTATCCTGAATATTCAGCGTATGTATACAGCCCTAGTAGCAAATTATATCGAGTAGATATCTATCCATGCGCACAGCCCAGCATCCAGAACCATATAGGAAGACTGGCGCGTTTTTTGGAATTCTTGAGCTCAGGCGAATGCCGAACAGCCACTAGGCGAAGTTGTCCCTTGTGCTGTCGGCCGTTCTATTATCAGCACCTCAAGACGTGCCGGGTAGTCAGCAGCTAGTTTACAGGCTGACAATATTTCTTGTTAAAATTTCCTTCCGCGGCGGCTCGTCCTCCTGGCTTAACACCTTAAACTGCCTGCGTTTCAAGTAGTCAGTGTTCTGAATGGTTTTTTTGCCGAGCATTCTAGTCCCCAATAAGTAGTTATTCCGCACCAGATCGATTTCTCTAGAAGTGAATACACACATTGCACATCAATTGCTCCTGCACTGTTTGCATTGGGCTAGTGACAACTGAAATTTGCCTTATTTTATAGAGAAAAGTAACCGGGGGGTGCGCCTACTAGGTGTCCTATGGTCCACATTCCAGTCATTACAAGAGAAGTATACTATGCCAATCGTGACCCGGTTAACAGCTCATGGTTTTCAATAAGTAATGCGTATTTGGAGTTGGATAGTTGTCACGAAGGCTGGTTTACGTTTTTGATGGTGGGCTTGGGAAAGGCGAATCTCATTCATTCCGTTTAGTGTCTCTAGATAGTCTTCCTTTCTTTCTCAAATGAAAAACCAAAGACAAAAGATAACACATTCAAACATTTGTTATTCATTACCATGACGTTGATCACATTGGTTGTTATGTGTCAAGGAACAGAGCCGGCTTGCTACTTTGTCCCTTAGTTCTACGGCTTTCATAGTCTACCCAAAAATTGTAGATGCCACATGTTGAATTGTGGACGACAGTGAATCTGATTTTGCTACTTCTATCCCAGATGCTGAAGTACATGCACCTCGAGTTGCATCCGCTGGTGGCTGCCTTCATGAGGAATTCCACAACCTCAACAGGCTCAACTCTTGCGAAGTTGAGGAAGATGACAGGTCATCCCTTCAGTTTCTGTCGAGAGGCCCTTTCCGCTTGTGACGGAGACTATGACCGCGCCATACAGTGGCTACAAAAAGAGGCAAGTAAACGAGGTCTGGCAAAGGCTGAGAAGCTCCGCAGTCGGCCAATGTCACAGGGCCTTCTGGGTCTGCTCTGTTCGAACAAGTGCGTTGCGGCAGTTGAAGTTAACTGTGAAACGGATTTTGTTGCCCGCAACCAAGAATTCCAGTCGCTCGTGGCGTCTGTGACGGAATCTCTTCACAAGTGTCTTTTGGTACGTGCCTCATCTTTCTGCACGGAAATATGGACACCCCCAAGACGCCAGTTCACATCCCCATGTCCTAACTATAACCGTTGCCTTAATCTGAGCCATGACTCTAACCCCCCTTCCCTTTCCTGAAAGTTGATCCAAGGCCAACTGTAGTGCGGGGTCTCATATTCATGCGTTCTACCGGAATCCGCGTCTGAAGACAGAAAGATTGACGAAGAACTGCGAGGGCCAGCCCGGGTTCACTTTGGCGTTACGCTGGAAAATGTTTCCGTTGATATATAGGCAGAATGTTATTACCGACAAAGACACGCTAGGTCTTTCCGATGTGACTGGGGTACTTCAGTCCTGCTTCCCTTCTTCAAAGAGGAGAATACTGTTACAATCGAGGCTGTGGCTTAACTGAAATAACCGAGTTGGTTTCACTTGTCTCATCATGCACTGACAAATCACCAAGATGCCTTCTGACTTACCTTGACCTCATATCCATTCTTTGAAGAACTCGCAAGCGAAAAACTTCTGCGTAACACAACTGTGTGTTTTCCTGATTCTTCCGCAGTATTTGACTTCGTCATGGAAGTCTTCTTTGGAATGTCCTGCTCACGCTCTCTAAACTCTCGACCCTGTTCAACACATTACGAGAATTACGTGGATACGCCTGTCGTACAGTGGCGGTTCAGTTCTCCGTCATTGTGATTATAAGACTAAGTTTCCAAAGAGCCTTCGTCTCAGACCTCTTACTCTCTAGGCAACATTGTCCTGTCTGGGACTTCCTTGGAGGAAATATCGTCCACACCCTGATTGCATGGTTTCCGAATTCCGCAAATTTGTTTTGAAACTGAAGCTTGCAGAGACGAATATGTTGTTGAACGACTTCGTCCTGCTTGAAGTACTAGCCTTTCCGATGGCGACGGTCTGGGGGGGGGACATCCGTTTGCTTCGTCCACTCCGCATCTCTGCTACCGTCAAGACGGTGTTTGCAAGAAACAAAAACCGCACACAACCGGGGTGCTGTCTGTTCTGGCAGCGCTTGCAGTTTCTGTGGCATTCGACTGAAGGGGGATGTTGTGGTGTAAGACCTTGATGTAAGGTATCTCGACCTATGATTGTGGACGCTGTCCTCTGTGTTCTGCAATCCTTCAACAACTCGATGCCTGAATATTTTTCTCTTCAGAGCATTTTGCTGCTTCGCGTCTGAAGGTTTGTCTTTTGAACAAAAACTTCGTCCGTCGGTTTATGACAGCTCCTTTCATTAACACCGAAAGGCAACCGTCTCAGATGTTTTGCCTTCGCGTTCCATCAGCCCTGGAAACGACTTTTCCCGATTGATGCCACTGTCTTGGTGGACATTCGGAAAGAATGATAAGTATGGGTCTGAAGGTATTCGCTGCTAGGGATTGGAGCGCTAACTTCACAACGCTCGGTGAGAACCTACTCGAAGGTCCCGGCAAATTGATTGCCCTGGTTAGCGCTGTTAGAAATCGTCATTGCAGTATTTGTGATAATATTTGCTAGCTGATTTCGTCCTAAAATATTTTTGTGTTTTGTTACCCTCTTTTTGAAGACTGCATGGGGTCGTCTGATGGGCCAACTTTCACACCTAAGAAACTGTAGTTGTATAGCACGTCGGACTATGTCGATTTTGTGCAATCCTGTCTGTTTCTGAACTCATGCGAGTATACGGCTCCTCATCTGTCTACTAGCTTACTTGCAAAGCGCCCACGGAGTGCACACTGTTTTCGGCAGCCTCTTTTGACTAATCTTTCTTCTTTGCTTCTCAGCAGAAGAGTGGCAGTGACGGCCTACAACACTTTCGGACTGAATCCCTGCTTGGCTTGCCCGTTACGACAGCTCGTGGTACACAGTCTCTCTCTAGCGTCCTGGCTGATTGCATCCACTCGGTGGGAGAGAACATGGCCGTTTCGCGAGCTGTCGGTATGAAGCTGTTGCCAGACGAGAAAACAAGCAAGATCATGGCTTACTGTCACATGAGCACTGCTGGCGCAACAAAACGCAGCCTCCGTAACGTACAGTTCGGGAAGTACGTCGCTTTCATCCGATACCGACTGAAGGCAGCTGACGAGGTTAGTCGGTATATTTCCTTGAGCGCCTCGCACAATCAGTTAACAGCCCAGGTTGCTGTCCAATAATTTTTGCATAATCTTACCTGAAAGGGGAATACTGGAGGCTTCTGCTCGTCTGAACGCTTTGTCAGTTCCCCAGTTAGCAAGTACAACTGACCTATAAGACCTGTCACCGACGTGCGACAGGCCTGACTATTCGAAACATCAGCCAGTTTGTAAGGTTGTTTTAGTGATCGCTTCCTCTTGGATTAATGTCCTGAGTGCTTACCTTCGCACACCTAAGCAGTCGTTTCTAACTGCATATCAAATCTTTCCCAAACCTTATGTTTGCAGCGCGGGAGCTGGAAACCCAGAACGAGTGAGTTAATGTTAGGTTAACTGCAGGCATTCAGTCCACTTGCGTTTAAATGAGATAAACTGATGGTGAGGTTAATTAGGTACTCTAGAGGGCTCCCATTCGTATGACAATTAGATACGCATGCCGCCGAAAAGATGCCCCTCCCCCAAAAAAGAAGTCGACTGGCCCACTACCTGCAATTTAGAGACCTGAAGGACACGAAGAAGCGTGAAACGTAATATATCTGGTTTCCTTGATAGGTAATCAAACGACTGATTGTCTAAGCATCAAGTTGCCAACAGTAGCTGTCTTGGCATAGAGCTTCCACCTATCGCGTGCTGCACGCGCGCACGAGCCAAGCTAATAGTTCACTCGTCACTACGGACGTTAGCAAACGTAACTGTAGAGTTGGTGTGTGAACGCTTGGCGACCCTAACGCATGTGTACTTACCCAGAAAGATCCATGCAATGATTAAATATTTGGTGATTGTTTGGGCTCAGATAATGGTCGATATTGTAGTGATTGCTGTCGCGCATGCGTTCACATGGGGTCACATCGGATTCTGGCCGTGGTTATTGGGAATACATACTTATAACAAATGCCAACATTCAGGATGTGGTGGCAGGGCAAGTTTCCGGCCCACGTCGCACCACTTTTGGTCCCTCCGCCTCCCCCATTGTTTTCGTTGGTTAAAATCCTGGTCAAGTTTTTGTTACGGACCGGAGGGTTTGGTCGTACACCTAGGTGCGGGTTTACGCTGTACCAGCCGACTGCGCTCCCTCTCATCTGCTTTCCTGACTTAGTTATGACACCGGGCCCAGGTGGGGGAGGAGATAGTGAGGTAGATGCGTCGAAAGCCCGCTATCGTTTTAAACTAATTTCCGCGCAAGTCACCGTCCCCGCTCTCACTCTGATATGGAGCACACGGTAGGCGTCGTCGGTCACGACGGAAGAGCTGCCGTACGCTCTCATGGTCAGATAGGCCTTAGCAGCGACAGGGATGTACAGGGGTAGTCTGTGCAGGGAATCCGCTTCTGACTAGTACTGGCCAGGCTTCTAGGCTGTAGTTTTTCGATCCTCGACGCAGTCATAGGTGTCCAACCAGTCTCGTGCGTAATTGGGGTATACAACCGCGGTAGGGACGAGCTGTTGCTGAGGCTACACCGCTGACTGTTGTCTTTTGCGTTTTGACAGTGCCCCCACCGATCGAAGCAATATTCACTTTGAAGCAAGCCGAGTCTCCTGCGACCAAACCGATCACCCTCCGGCCAGTTTGTCATGGCAGTATTCAAATGAAAATAGATATTCCAGGTCCTTAGGGCTAGTGAGGTTACTCTAGCAGGGCGGATAGGAAATTGGGCCGGGGGTTGTTGTTTGTATAGTGTTTTGCCTGTGTGATTAACGGACACACTCAGCGTTCACTTTGCAGACGATACATTTTCTAGCCCATCCTCCGTCAAGGGCTTAGCAACACTTCCCTGAAAAGGACTACTTAAGCATCCCAGACGGTTACCCAGCTCCACTATGGGTCGTAACATTGGTTTGTCAGGAAAAATGGCTGGAATTATTCGTGGCTGGCTATGCGATTGCATGTTGACGGTAAGAGTCGGAGGCTGCGGCTGATTAGATAGGTGTGTGTGCGGGTGCCATGAGACGGCCACTTCAACCGTATTGACTGAACCCGGCTTCATGCACAGCGTCGTTGTATACGCAAAACTCAACCAGTCACTATCATCTAATTCAGTCTGCCGGTCGAAGCGTTTACTGGTCTGTGGTTATTGCAACGGGCACAGATTGGTGGAGCCGCGATTGAAAACCGTGCCACTTATGAATTGAACGGAGCAACTGCGACGCATATTAGAATCTGTGGAGTGACCTTTTACTCCTAGAAGTTATATCACTGCTGCGACTACCTGTAGTCACGTAATCATATGCAGGTTGACTTATCTCGGCAGTTTGTTGACTCACATCCATTGTCCACGATTTTAGGACTCAATACAAACGCTTCCCTACAGTTGATCTCTTCTACACTACGTCCTGGTATGGATACATGAAAAATTGCAACGCGAATATCTAGCATGCATAGCCAACAAAGGATGTCGTAAAATGGAACCAGCTGACTACTACTATTGGCTTGTTCTATAAACTCACCTATGCGTACGCTGTTTGACGCGTCCGTAGATTGTATTTCGTTACTTTTACACCCTGTCTTGCTGAAATGACAACACCAGAACCTTTAGGGTCATTAAGCTAATGAAACGCATTTCTGTGTCTCATTTGATTTTGTTATTTCGTCGACCCTTGCTGAGGTATTGATGCATTTCCTCCTTTAGATGTCATGAGAGTGAGATTCTGTGCCGTACCTTTCTCTAACATAGCTCACCTCTTCCTAGAGTTCAGCGTCCTTAGGGCGGCAAGACAGGGCCTCGCAAGTGGGTCTCCAACTATGCCAGCACATAGTGGGTATGAATCCGCGGCCAGGACTTAGTCTGTCTCCCCCAGCGGAAAACCCGGATGACGAACGGTGTCTTCTTCTGCAGAAGTTTCTCCTTGACGAGTCCATTGACATTCGCACTCTGTTGGAATTAAATAACATCCATTTGGAAGAGTTTCTTCGTATGGAATGTGGCCAAGACGATGAGGAGGTGGAAGACCAAACCACAGCTTGTTCCACATCAAATGCCGCCGATCACGGAGCCGTGCCCTGAGTTTCCGCAATACCCGTGTCACTTTGTAGAATGTTGTCTCCCCAGCTGGCCATTTTTTTGTATTTCGACCCACTACGTTTAATTATAGTGCATATTCCCTTCAAGTCACTTGCTATTCTACGTTTTGCTTGGTACCCAGTTATCACAGCTGCCAAACAATGCGACCCCAGTTCCTACATTGCAAAACACCTAAAACGTCCTGTATTTTAACTTATTTTTGTGGACAGTGAAGGTTTTCCTAAAAAAACGTCAATTAAGGGTAGCATCCTTCAGAGCGCAATATGCTTGCTGTATGTATGCTTGTGCAAACTAAAGCCTGCACGAATAAGGCTTCGCCTCAACAGTGGTTGAGCTCTAGACGCTATCGAATAGTAGAACTGAAAAATATTTTTCGTAGTAATGGCTGTTTTAGCAGCAGTACTAATGGCGCTCGCGGCGGCAGTGTTAGCAGTCACTTAGCGACAGCGGTGGTGATCATATTGACACTACTGTTAGCATTTGTAGTAGCAGTGACAGTAGTACTGACATTGCTATGTGTAGTGTCAGCAAGAGCGGCAGCGGTCTTCGTCTTCGGTGTAGGAGTAATCACTGCATTATCACTGTTGGTCATAACAACGACAGTTGCAGAAATAGTGGCAGCATCAGTTGCAGTAGACATAATAGACTCGATCGGTGGTAGTACCAGTTGCGACAGCAAAATCAACCACGGAAATAGTAGTAGTACTGTTAGCAGCAGTAATCGTGATGGGGTTAGTTAAGGTATTAGGCATTGGAGGGGAATTACTTACGACGGCAGCGGTAGACGCGGCACCGACGATAAGTCGACTCGGCGATTATATCGAGGTAATCCGCACTGGTAGTAAGCCAAGCAGTGGTCCATATGTGTGCCGACGTGCCGCAAATCTTGTTTGAGATAGCCGTCTGCCCCGGTGGGATTTCATGAACATACTTGATTAGGCGCAGCGATTTTCCCGGCCACGTTGTTTGGACTGGACCCGGTCGTTGTCCAAGTGGCCCCTCGTCTGCAGTTATGTGACGTGTTGACCGACTGCTCGTTCACCCAGTGGCCGATTCGATTAGTCGTTCGATGCCGTGTGGCCCCTTACTGCGGCCTTATGGGAACTACACGTTTTTGGTCTAGGCTGGTTTAGTTCGCTTGAAGTGGACGGCCAGCACGTGCGCGGAGCATGTAGACGGCCCCACGTCGGGTTATTCACTGTGTGCCATCTTATCTCCAGTCAGTTGGATTCAGATTAGTCATTGGCACAGGATGGGAGATCGCAATCGAGACTGGTGCTTCGCAAGTCCCGCCGCTGCGGTCTAACACGGTGCAATAATAGTCGCCCGCGCTTGCGACGGACGGGGCGCCATTTTAATTTACCTGAAAAGTTAGATTTCGAATAATTCCCACTTAGGCATCTACGGTGGTTATTATACTTTTTTGGGAGGGAACCATAAGCTTTTTAAGTTTGCCTGCCTAAAATGTTGGGCAGGTGTAGAGGACACTTTCTATCTTGTATGTTGGTCCCTCTCCTGTCGAGATAAGCTTCTGAGTTTCTAAGGCGGTAGTTAACCAATGGCGCAGTCCCCAGAGGGCAACAGCTTGTGTCAGGTGATCTAAGACAAACTCACCAGTCTTGTGGAAACCACTTCTTACGCCCTAAATGGCAGATAAGTTATGAGTGGGCGGAATCTGACCGCTGTTTTCCTATCACTTATTCATGGGCTGTCATGGCTCAATGTGCTAAACTTTGGTTTTCGAATAAAAGATTTTGAGAAAATCAGGGGTGAATTAGCAGACAATATTTCAAAGGATCATGTCCTTGCTAATTTCAAAGTTGACAGTCGGTCGCGTTGAATGCAGACTTCGGCCATAAGTATGTAGATAACCAATACGGCATAGCTCTGGGTTTTTAATTAGTGATGTGACAGTTCGATGCAGGGCCGCTGATTTGCGCGCGAGTTAATTTACAGTCGCAATGGACTTGCGCAGCGTTTACCACACACTTTCCTCCACCCACTTGAGCCTGGTTTTAAGAGAGTCGGGAAGACCCGAGGCAGGCTCGGACGCAATGGCTGACGGCTAAACAGCTTTTCTGCGCGTGCCAAAATCGCCTGGCTCTCGCACAGGGGACCAGGTTTTCACGAACAAGGAAGGCTAGCTGCTGGGATCCCAACTGAGTGGAGGGCCATAGAGGCTACATTAAGAAGGAGACATGGCGGCCTGACTCCGTCTTGAAAGGACCGAGTGGTGAGGACGCAGTATACGACCCCACTCAGGGAACAAAAACCTGGTCACCGTAACATAATGCGTTTTTAACTTTTTTATAATTGAAGCCTCCGCACCCTCGTTACTAGATAGAATGTAGTCTGCTTTTGTCAAAATAACCTGGAAAGACTGCGAACAATGCTCAACTCATGCTTTCACCGTCAGACAGTTTGATACTGAATTCGGTCTTCGGGGATTACGATCCTGATACGTGTTCTCATTTGCAAGTAGCTGTAGAGATATTGAGCGCGAGGACGCAATACACCACCTCGAAATTTATTCGGATGTTTACCTACTATCGCACTCTCCTTCCCACCTTTCAGTCCCACCCATAAAACCCGTATTACACGATGACCTGGTTTTTTGTTCCCTGAAAGGGGTCGCATACCGCGTCCTTGCCGTGAGGGGTGTGCCCTGGGAGTCGACCACGCTTTCTTCCACTGCCCGTTAACTAGTCGATTGTCCGAGTTTCTCAACCAACTGGTGCTGCGGTTGGGCGCAAATGTCCGACTGAGTTACAAACTGATTGCAAGGAAGGTTTTCTTTGAGCAGGCCT